TTTGGACGATTAGTGAGGGCGAACCCAATCACGCATCACTCGAAACAGACCCGAGAACTTTAACGGCTCGAGCCGCCTTGCATCTCTACAACAACTTCCACCATGGCCGACGTACCAGACGACGGCGCGCTGTCGGTGCCTCCGTCACCGACGAACACGAGAAGACCGAGATTCGACCGGACAGGCTCGCTCGGCGAGCCGGACGAGCGCTCACCATTGCTCCTGAACTCGAGAACTCGGATTCGGCGACACCAAGCTGCTACCCCCGAGAGTCCCAAACACCTGACTCCGGGCCTGTCGAGGAATCACAGCACGGCCGGTAAGTGTCTTGCTCGCTTCACATGCTTTGCGTGTACCAAGAAAACATGACAGCTAATCCATGTCCTTGCTATCCAGGAAGCATCCGGAGTTTGCACCACAGTCGCAACCCGTCATTCGGCGCTCGCTTATCGCACGCCTTCTCCGACTTCCCAGAATCTATGTCCGAGTCGAAACGATCAATTCTGCCCGACGAACGAGTATGGTACGATCAGTTTACGTCTACCGATTGGGTTCACGATAACATCGTCGATGCCCACCGAGCCAAGGCCCTCAAAATGCGCAAGGACTTCTGGGGAAGGATATATGCCATCTTCGATGCTTCGCAGGGCTGGATTCTTAGTGCCGTGTGTGGTGTAGCCGTTGCTCTCGTCGCGTACGTAGTCAACTTGTCCGAGGCTACCGTATTCGATTACAAATATGGTTATTGCACACGGGGCTGGTACATCAGCGAGAGGGTACGTTCCTTCACCTCGGAGATAAGTCCGAAGATGCTAATAGCCATTAGAATTGTTGCCCAAAAGGACCTTGTGACGATTGGGAGACTTGGTCGGAGTCTTTGAGATTCTGGCCTTTTGGAGATGTGGGAACCGAGTTTACAATCTACCTCGTCGGCGTTGTTGGCTTGGCCTGCATTGCTTGCGCCATGACATTGACGACCAAAACCGTGGTGCCCTCGGCGTATCGTATGACGACCTTCGACGAGAACCTCGCTGCGGAACTTGCCCCGTACGCCGATGAACCTACGAGCGACGAGAGCCCGACGCCTCCAGAGCCTGTTGAGCCGGTGACGACGACATCAGAACCCGCGGAAAACGTGCCGCCACCGATGATTTACTACTCAGCTGCTGGCAGTGGTGTTGCTGAAGTTCGCGTCATCCTCAGTGGTTTCGTGTTGCACGGCTTTCTTGGTCTGAAGACTTTGGGTATTAAGTCAGCTGCTCTCATTCTCAGCGTGGCCTCTGGTCTCAGTCTTGGAAAAGAGGGACCTTACGTTCATATCGCAACTTGTGTCGGCAACATTGCCTGCCGCTTGTTCGCGAAGTACGATCAAAATGACGCCAAAAGGCGCGAGGTTCTATCCGCAGCTGCAGCCGCCGGTGTCGCCGTCGCTTTCGGCGCTCCGTTGGGAGGTGTCCTGTTCGGACTCGAGGAGGTCTCTTACTTCTTCCCTGCAAAGACGCTTTTCCGCACCTTCTTCTGCTGCATCGTCGCAGCCTTGTCGCTCAAGTTTCTCAACCCCTACGGCACCCACAAGATCGTCATGTTCCAGGTCAAGTATACAACCGACTGGCATTACTTTGAAATTGTGTTCTTCATCGTCATCGGAATTCTTGGCGGTGCTGCTGGAGCTCTATTTATCAAGGCCTCGAAGCATTGGGCCAAGACCTTCCGTCGGATCGACGTCATCAAGAAGTACCCCATGTTCGAGGTTGCCTTGGTCGCCGTAGTGACCGGAATCATGAGTTACTGGAATGTTCACACCAAGCAGCCGGTCGCCAAGCTCATGCTCAACCTTGCGGCGCCATGCCACGACGGATCTGATCGCGAAGATTACGGACTATGCCCAACGACGGCTGAAGGCATCCCTCCTGTGCTTTCAGGCCTTTTCTCCGCCTTTTTGATCAAGGGGTTTTTGACGATCATCACATTTGGAATTGTGCGTAATACACCTGGGTACAGTCGGAAAGATGCTAACTTTTCTGCAGAAAGTTCCAGCCGGAATCTACGTGCCGTCCATGGTTGTTGGCGGTCTCATGGGAAGAATCGTCGGTCACGTCGTTCAGTACATCGTCCTAATGTACCCCACCTTTGGGCTCTGGACTCGATGTGCCGCATCACCAACAGGATCATGCATACAACCTGGTGTCTATGGACTTATTGCTGCCGGATCCACCATGTGTGGTGTCACTCGGTTGTCGGTCACACTGGCAGTCATTCTCTTCGAACTGACGGGAAGCTTGGATTATGTCTTGCCGTTCTCCTTGGCTATCCTCGTGGCCAAGTGGACTGCTGACGCCATTGAGCCAAACAGTATCTACGTGAGTACAGTCTGGTGTGTCTACAAACTGAGCGTCAAGTCTAATATGAGTAGGACCTCCTGACGAACATGAACTCCTACCCCTTCCTCGACAATAAGCACAAGCCAATCTTCACTTCCGACCTGGCAGACATCGTCCCTCGTGTCCGCCGGGAACGAATCATTGACGTCAGCGCCTCTCCAGTGATATCCGCCGTTAGTCTGCGTAAGAAGCTTCAAACTCTGCATAGGGCAGGTGAGCTCGACGGAGGTCTTCCTATTATTCGGGATGGAATTCTTGTTGGGCTCATCCCAGCACCCGATCTCGAGTTCGCCCTGGACAGTCTTGACGACGAGGCTTCAAGCATGTGTTTGATGGCACATATTCCCACCATCGAAGACTCGGACGATGAGGAGACGGAGAGAGATAAGACAGATTTCACTCCGTACATTGACCCGGTAAGTCTCATGATCTGCAACGTCTGGCTGTGACTAACAACGAAGCAGGCTCCCGTTGCATTGGATATCAGATCCCCAATGGACCTTGTGTATGAATGTTTCGTCAAGCTTGGTCTCCGCTTCATTTGCGTGCTCAAGAACGGGCGCTACGCCGGCATGGTAAGTTGTGAAAGCTTTTGTTTAGCACGATACTGTCTAACTGAATGTGTTAGGTTCACAAGAAGAGCTTCGTAAAGTACATGCGAGAGCTCGAAGAAAAGGAGCACTAGTTGGGCGCTCTCACGATGCGTTTCTTTCTCGTTACAGACCGATACCACATGCCGACTGAGATTGTTCGGCAAACATCTGACGCATCAGAAAGACTGCATGGCATCAAGCATGGATTTTTTTTTTTTTTTTTTTTTTTTTTTTTTTTTTTTTTTTTTTTTTTTTNGTTTTTTTTTTTTTTTTTTTTTTTTTTTTTTTTTTTTTTTTTTTTTTTTTGGCAGACAGCCCATTCAGCATCTACGGCATGGCGTTACAATTCTTTTCATCTTTCCAGACATTTCCATCATTTGTTCCTGGGTGTAATCCAGAAGTGGCAGAATTTCTCACGCCAGATTGCATAGCACTTTTGTATTGTCCGACAACCCAGGGTATAAGGGAGAGGCTAGATTATCATTATTCGTCTCGCATGGCAGGTCTGACCGAAACAGACTGGTCGTGTAAAATAAAAGAGTTACAACTTGAGCATGAGATATCTTCGCAGTGACGGCCAAAGGAAGAGAAGCTAACCCGGCGACCATAGGTGTCGGCCTCCGGCGGCATGCGGCGTTCCGGGTGGGCCCTTCGCCGGCGGCAGTGCGGCGCAAATTTCACCCAATTCAGAACGTAAGCCGCAATGCTCGATTTATGTCACCAAATTGGCTGTCCAAAGTGCCGACGGCGAATCTATTATTCACTATTATTCAATGACCGGCAAAGCCATTCCCGGCCCGGTTTCCGGTCCCGGCATCGGCCCTCTCGATCCGCAGGGGCGACCAGTGGATATTTCGAGGTCGCGGCGTCGCGCTAGTAGTCCCCAGGTGCTCCCCTGGCTAGGTGGATAGGTTCCCACCAGATCCTTATCATGGTCGGCGGGAAACGCTGTTATCGCCTGATACGCGCGGCGGGGGCGCGCGGAGAGACACCGAGAGCGCGCACGTCGGATCTATGATAGATGCGGTAACATTATAGGCACGTTGTGGTTGATGTTGCGGTGTGGCTTCTGGCGCTGCAATCCTGGAGGCTGCGAACTACGATGTGCAAATCAGAAGCAGGCTGGCGGCTCGAGGCGGCAGTGACGGGAGCGGCACAGCTAGTTGGTGGCGAGGGGAAGCCAATTGGAGCCGCGACCGATCGATGCCATCCGAGATGCCGAACCTGCCATTGAACAACAGCTCGAGCACAGCCAGTCAATTAGAACAGATGAAGCTATTACATATTACGACGTTTACGCTACGCCCGAGCTTCCTGCAGCAGGACGCTGGCTGCATATTGTGTCAGAGGCAGGTACCCTGATACACGGCCGCCCGCCACAGCCAGCCGGCGTAAAGGGCGTGAATTTACCCCTCCAAGGTCCCCCCGCCGCGGCGTCTTTCTGAGCGTGTGTGAGGTCACTGGGACCTTCGTTCCCCCAGCTTTCGCCCCGCAATTTCTCATTGGGCACGTAATCTTGGCTTTGGCCAACCGCCCCTCCAACTGGCCGCCTGTGTCCCCCCTCCCATTCCCTGCCATATCGCCGAGCTAACGCAGCAGCTGCAGCTTTCGCTCCTCGTTCCGGCATGGTGGGAAACCAAGCACCGCGCCGGTGTGTGCGTCTGAACGCCTCGAGTCAACACCAGGACCCAGGGGACCAAAGCTCAAACCAGGCCGATGGCAATACACCACCACCTCTCTCCACCAAACGGTCTGACGAGACAACGCCGGGGACCTGATAAGCCGTGGCCACCCGCCATCTATAAACAGCCCCTCCCCCGCGCACCAGCTTTGTGATCCCTTGTGTTACTCTCTTTCCCTTTCGCATCTTCACCATTGGCCAATTGACTGCACGTCGAAGGATAGATACGCCTCCGATATCGCACAGCTTCACTATCGCGAGCACCACAGGAGGAAAGCAGCGTCGTAGAGAGAGAACAGGTCACACACCACATTAGGAAGAAAGCAGACGAAGAAGACCATCGCCATGGCCTTCATGAGAGCCTCCGCGGCCCTGCGCCCCGTCATGCGCACGGCGGCCAGGGCACCCCTCTCCCGCCGCACCCTCTGCGTCTCCGCCCCGCGCATGGCCGCCTCCCTCTTCGCAGGCGAGCCCTCCGCCCCGGCTGTCAAGACCGAGATCCCGGGCCCTCAGTCCAAGAAGCAAATCGCGGACCTGCACGAGGTCTTTGACACCCGCAGCTTGAACATGCTCACGGATTACAAGAAGAGCAAGGGCAACTACATTGTCGACGCCGACGGCAACGTCCTGCTGGATGTGTAAGTGCTTTCCCACGTCTCACCCTCTAGTCGACGATCCTAACATGCACACCGTAGCTACGCCCAAATTGCCTCCATTCCCCTTGGCTACAACAACCCCGCCCTCGCCAAGGTAGCTGAGACCCCCGAAATGATAAACGCAATCATCAACCGTCCCGCCCTCGGCAACTTCCCCCCGGAGGACTGGGCCGAAGTTCTCCGCACCGGCATCCTCAAGGTCGCCCCCAAGGGCCTCGACCAGGTCTTCACCGCCATGGCCGGCTCTGACGCGAACGAGACCGCCTACAAGGCCGCCTTCATGTGGCGCCGCCAGCAGGAGCGCGGCGGCTACGACGTCGACTTCACCCCCGAGGAGACCGCCTCCGCCATGAACAACCAGGCCCCAGGCGCCTCGCAGCTCTCCATCCTCTCCTTCAAGACGGGCTTCCACGGCCGCCTCTTCGGCTCCCTCTCCACCACCCGCTCCAAGCCCATCCACAAGCTCGACATCCCCGCCTTCGACTGGCCCCAGGCCACCTTCCCCCAGCTCAAGTACCCGCTCGAGGAGCACGCCGAGGAGAACGCCGCCGCCGAGCAGGCCGCCCTCGACGAGGTCGAGCACCTCATCAAGACCTACCACGTGCCTCCCGCCGCCGTCATCGTCGAGCCCATCCAGTCCGAGGGCGGCGACAACCACGCCTCCCCGGCCTTCTTCCGCGGCCTGCGCGAGGTCACCAAGAAGCACAACGTCCTCCTCATCGTCGACGAGGTCCAGACCGGCGTCGGCGCCACCGGCAAGTTCTGGGCGCACGAGCACTGGGACCTCCCCACCCCGCCGGACATGGTCACCTTCTCCAAGAAGGCCCAGACCGCCGGCTACTACTTTGGCAACCCCGAGCTGCGCCCTAACAAGCCCTACCGCCAGTTCAACACCTGGATGGGCGACCCGGCCCGCGCCATCCTCTTCCGCGAGATCGTCAACGAGGTCGAGCGCCTCGGCCTCGTCGAGCACACGGCCCGCGTCGGCGACTACCTCTTCGGCAAGCTCGAGGCCCTCGGCAAGAAGTACCCCGGCCAGTTCGCCAACCTGCGCGGCAAGGGACAGGGCACCTTCATCGCCTTCGACAACCCGCGCCGCGACGAGTTCCTGAAGAAGGCCAAGGGTCTGGGCATCAACATTGGCGGTTCAGGAGAGAGCGCTGTCCGCCTGAGGCCGATGCTCATCTTCCAGGAGCACCACGCTGATATCCTCATCGAGGCTCTGGAGAAGATTGTCAAGTCTTGGTAATGACAGACAGCGGTCACATTGGCAATTTTTTTTTTTTTTTTTTTTTTTTGATATATCTCGTATAGGAGCTCATTGGCCCGGTCGTGGCCGGTTATTTTGGTTTATCTAGCGTTTTTATGAATGGCCTCTAAAAAAGATTTGAGGGACGTAGACAGAGAGTTGGTTTGAGGCAATACCAATCATGATATTTTATGGCTCTATGAACTCTGCTCTCAGTTGTCAATGTACCTTGCCACCTTCTATCGTACACATTGATGTTTGTCCCAAGTCCCCCAACCCAGATGAACCTCCTCTAGCCTCCATGTCCTGGAGTAAAAGCAGTTGGCCAACAACGCCTTCCGTATATCATACATGTGCATCCTCACATGGGCGGCCTTGCGCTCAATGCGAGTGATGCGGTGTTTGCTGCCGCAGCTAGCTGTGCGGGCTGGGTAGGCAAGGTCAACCTCGTTTTCCGCCGTGCTTCAGACGAATATTTGGGTAGAATGTACCGCCACCGGCTCTTTGGCCTGTTGATGTGTCCATTGCTGATGGGCGGAACCTCAAGTTTCTATCTCGCCAGTCCTTCCTGCGTCAAATGCCCAATATGTGGTATGGCTCGTTCTTTCTCCGATTCTGGAAGTTGCTCGCGCTCGGGATATGGATCTTGGCGCATCTCGTCAGACCGGCCGCGGGGAGTCTCGCTTGGCGTGGACCGACCCGACAGTGTCCTGGGTTGGTCGACTCTATAGGTATAAGTGCCCTGCCAAGGTCAGAACCTACCAACCTAGTGGCAGCTGCGTACTCACCGGTAACTCTGGTACAGCTTTGTCCGTTGACCTAGGTCGCCCACGTTTCTTCCTTGGGGGCTCGCCAGTTGTCTCCGAGGCTGGGCCTGGTGATAAACTGTAGGCTGAGCTCTCTGCCGGGGTGCTGGGACTTTCCCCAGCCGAATTGCGTGGTGCAGGTGCTGGAGCCAGGGGCGTGAAATGTTGGGGAAGCATCGCTCTAAGTTGCCTCGCCTTATCTGCTCGCGACGGCCTTCCTCTCTTACGAGGCGGGGGCGGCGCTGCGGGCGGCTGGTTTGGGCTCGGATAACCGTTGGACGCCGTGCCACTCTCTGGGCCAGCGTTCATCTGTCTCGGCTGTATGTTTGGTAGTGGAGTTTGCTGCAGTTGCGTGGGCGCTGGTAAGAGAGATCGTACAGACATCGGATTCGCGTAAGCAGACGGTCCTTGTGAAGCAGAAGCCAGTGGCGGCAGCTGTGCAGGAGGTTCCATCGGAGAAGCTAGTGCCAGACGTTTGGATGGCTTGTCGAGGAGATCACCAACAGGCTTGCGCTTCAGATCTGGTATTCTCATGGGCCCTTGGAACATCTGTTCAGTGACTTGTATGCACTGCTCCATCGTACGGCCTGGGCATGTCTGTCAGTATACACAGACTGGGGTTCACGACTCGAGGCACTCATACCAGGAGGCAGCTGCATTTTGAGCCAGTTCGGCTCGGTTTTGTGTAGTTTCAGAAAGTCAACCAGATGGCCCAGGTCTAAGTTGCTGGTCTTGATGACTTCTGCGAGGATCAACCTCTGAGGAACTGCGCGTCAGCATACGTATGATAGAGGCGAACAACACGCTAACCTTTTCTTCTTCTGAAAAAGGGTAGGCCATCGTGAAGAGGCTAGCTACTGCCGGGGCAAGTGTCACGAAAGCAAAAGATGGTGAGGAACACGGATCTTGGGACCGGCATTGGCGGCGTGAGGTCGTAGCAAACAAACGTCTCGGCGCTGGCAAGGAGGATCTGTCCGTGAGGAGTTGCAAAGAGCCAAGGTGGTCGTTCAAATGAAGGTGGGATGCTAATAAGGTATGGAAGCTAGAGCGAGTGTAACGGACGGAGCCGGCGTCGTCAACTGAAGTTGCGCACAGCGAACAGGCAGATGCCAGGCAGACAAGCGCGGCCGAGGCGGCAAGAGGTCGTAGCAAAGGTCAAAAACAGCCGCCGTGGTGGGTGTCGCCTCGCTTTGCCGATGGTGGAAGGCAGGTAACTGCGCCTACGGATGACAAGTGGAAAGAACGGACGTGCAGCTTGAGATAATGAAAGTCGTGAGAACTGCGCAAGCGCGCGTCTTTGACCAGAGGCCGCCGAATAAAAGACCCCGTCCCACGACAACGTCGAGGGGAAGTTGGACGAGGCGCGAGATGGAGGGGGTAACACAGCCTGGACAGGCCTGGTCGGTAGAAGTGGAGGCTCGAATGTTTCGTTTGTTCCTGGAAAACCTGGGCCACTTTGCGACTATGAGCGCGGGAGGCCCTGCACGGCGCGCGGTCGGGGACTTGCTGGCGTGACCGGGGTTCAGTGGCAGGTCTGAGGCGTTTGTTTTTGGAAGTGGAAGACCTTGGGGGGAAGTTGGAACAAGCGAGACAAGTTTGCCGAGTGGTTAATTACGCGTTAGGCCTGTTCAGGAGACATTCCAGGACGTCGGTTCAGTCGAGGCCTGATACGGTATGTTGCGACGGCTGTTCGCAGCAAGGATGCGAATCCCGTCGTTCGATCGAGTCTTGTTCGAGAGGACTCGAGCAGAGGACGAGGCGGATGCTGTTTGTATTAAGATTCGAAGCGACGGAGGAAGAGGCGAATTGGACCGTCGCAATTATCAGCAGGCCTCCCATGCCCTTAGTTCTCGTCGTGCTGAGTGAGATTCATGGAAGTAAGGGGAGTTCGGAGTTGGCGCAAATGGATAAACAGGTCACAACTCCTAAGGCACCCTTACGCTCTCCCCTTGTTGAAGTAGTGCAAAGTTGCAACGTCCGAGCGAGGGTGGCTGGGAAATGCCCGCACCTCTTTCGACGAAGACGATGACTACACGAGAAGAGGTAGAGACAGTGCGGCGCACCAGAGCCTTGGGTGTCCTACAGTGAGGACGAGACGAACGAAAAAAGCGGTTGCAGGTCTGGCGTGACCGACTGACGTCGAGGGTGTGATTGCCGAAAATCAAGCGGGAATCTGAGGTGGCCAGGGAAGGCTTCCGATAGGGGCGCGGAGAATCGCCGGTCGTTGTCTGCGTCTGCGACTATCTGGTTTTTTTTTTCTCAACTTCGATGGATGGATGCACTGCGGCACTGCCAAACTGGGCGCAAGTTTAATGTAATGTGCTCTGTCGGGATGTTGGCGTGTGGTGGTGGTGGGTTAGAGGATGGAAGGGAGGGAGGGATGATGGATGTTGGCACAAGCTGCCGTGGCGGCCAAGGCTAGATCAGGTCAACGATGAGCGATAGTTTGTGTGGTGTGTGTGTGAGTGCGTGGTGTGGGTGAGGACGAGAGTCGCAGTCATCTTCTCTCTCTGTCGTCCGTCCATGGATTGATATTAGCAGCATCCTCCAAGCCAGGTCCCGCCGTGATGCTGCCACTCCGCTCCCCGCCTCTGGCTTCTGGCGGCTGCTTCTTTTCTCGCTATGCCTCAGATCGTCGTCCGCCGCCTTAAGCTTCTGGTCTGACCCGGCAGTGGCTTTGTCTTAGGCGCCCCTCGCGCCCGGCCTCTCTTTCCGTCGTCGGATTCTTGCTTTTTTCGCGGCAGCCGAATCGCCCTTTCCAGATTTTGTCGCGCATGTCTCACCAAGGCGCCCAAAGAGGAAGCAGCTGTCTGGTTGGCCGACAGCCACACCGCGGGGCCTTTTTTTCGTTCGCATTCGAGGTCGAGAATGGGGCTCAGATCAGAAGAAGCTCCAATGTCTGTGGTTGCTCCCACTTGCACCTCCTCAGCACCACAGTCACGCACCCTTTGAGAGGCATCACAAATGACTGCATGAGATAGCTTCTCTCTGCCTATGCCCATGCAATCGACAGAGCGGGTATCCCTGTCTCCCGCCCGTCCTGCACACGCCGCTGGCTGCAGCAGAGTCCCATACGCTGAGCTGTTAGTGGCCCGGTGTTGGGCTGAGAAGAGCTACATGCAGCAGACTCTGTAAGGCAAGGCAACGGAGAGAGAGCGGCCTGCAGCTGCAAATGCAGTGCTTGATACTGCCAGAGGGGGAGGGTTGCGTCAACTAGCCAATCCTATCGGGGAACATCTCCCGCCTGACTTGACTCTCTGCCACTTGCAGGACGTCATTGTCGTGGTGTCTGCCGAAAACATGACTTTTGTTTTCCTTCTCTGTCTCCAGCAAGCTTGGATATAGCATGTCAGCTTAAGAAACCCAGAGACTGATTCAGCACTAGCTGGCGAAGACGAGAAGTGACGGGGAGAGTGAGTGAATTCCATTCCCTTCCTTCTGCTCGCTGGTCGGTGCGCTGGCAGCATGGAACTCGTATCGGCCGCCCTGGAGCGTGGCCTTCCCCCCCACCATGCAACTCAAGTCAGCAACTGCCCCTCCCCCTTCCAACTCACTTTCTCCCCTCTCCGCTGTGGTGGCTGCTTCAGCGTTCCCATCTCCTCCCTCCCACCTCCGTTAGAGTTCACTGTCATCCCATCATTCCGCTTGGAATGCGCGCCTTTTTCTTCTCGCCCATCGCGGTCTCCTTGTCGACGGTAGAACAGAAAATGAAGAAACATGATCGACAGACGACCGAATAAGGAAACAGGGGCCTTTTTAGTGCCCGCGCAATGCCATCGTCCGGAATGCCATTCAGCACCCTCATTGGCCGTCGCGCAGCCATATCCAGCTTGCTGGTGACTGTCGGGGGAAACCACTGGATTCCCTCTTCTCCAATCACCGACCAACAACGGCACAAGAGCCAGCACAGGGCACGGGTTCGTCACATTTCCCGCAGTTGACAGAGCGAGCCGCAGCCAGACACTGTGAGGCCGCGCTGCACCTGAGTGGACTGAATCCCCATGATTTCTGGGGGCGGCCCAAAACGTGACCGGGCGGAAAGGAAGCGATCGAAGCAATGAGGCTGAGAAGAATTAGGAAATCAGGCACACGCAACTCAAAACTGATGACTGTCGCGACGAACGACATCGAGTGCAAAAGGTCGCAAAATGGACCTGCTACCCTAATTGCCGCGTTCGTCCACCTCCTCTTTATACTCTTGGACTTCCTCAGGCTGCTGGTCTTCTTCATCCGGCTTCAGCAACGTCTTTGCTGCACAATGAGTTGGCATCCTCCCACTGGGAGACCCACCCATGTACAACCCGTCCATGCCAATGGCGGAGCCATCTCCAGACGACACCAAACGGCACCGACCGCCCGTCACTAGCAGGGCATCGTTGCCCAACTCGGGCACGCCTACATGCCTGCTTCTCTCCATCCGACGGAACAGCACCTTGCCCAACACCGCTTTCGTCGGGAATTTGCTTCTGCACCTCTGAGCTGTGCGTCATGCTGCTTCAAACTCCCCTTACCCTCCAGACCAGTGGACGGCTCGGGCTGGGCCATCGTGCAGGTGCGCGCCAAAGTAGCTCGATGCTTCGCTGCCGCCGTTGACGTTGCACTTGAATCTCTGCGCATTGGATGAACATGCGTCGTGGCATTCCTGGAGTGGAGCGATGGCCATCGGCAGTGGACAACAGTTGCAGTCCTAGCCAGATATGCCAGTATCCTGCCACTCGTGTCAACAAGAACTGTGGCCCATGCCTCGTTCCCAGACGCTCAAGTGTGTGGGAATTATCCAAGGCTTCGAATTCGTTTCGTGCGACAAAGCTCGAACTTCTCACTTGCTCCGGAACTAGGACTGCGGTATTGGCCTTCGGCTCAGAGCTATGTTTACTCTTGTCTCTTGATACCTTTTCTGGCCGAAACAACTCAGGTAGGCGCAGTGAATACATCACGGGGAGGACAGGAAGATTCGAATGGCAAATCTGGTGAGGCTTGGAAAAGAGGGAAAAGGGAATGTCCAGGGGTGTTCTCTTGGAAGAGCATGCAGGGCAGGTGGATGCGAAGTGTCGGTGAGAGAACCTGGAAACCATCTTCTCGCTCCAGATAAGCCCTGGTCCATGCTTAACTGTGACCATGTTTGACGAGGCAAGCAATTCAGGAATTCGCATCTGAGCGAATTCAGCAACAAAGGCGGACGGGGTGCCAGATATCTCAATCAGCCTCATGGCGCTGTTCACGCCTCACATAGAAGGTATTCAGGCTCCGCCATCGTTACACAACATTGCTGACCCGTTCGAATTAGATGACCAGCAATAGCAAATGCAAAACTTGAGGCTCCGACGGCAGAACACGGCGATCCGCCCCTGCGTGCAGCCTCTTGTAATCCCATTTCTTTGATCAAATGCGCTTACATTGCGTCGAATAGCATTGGGCAGAATGCGTGCTCTTTCTGTGGAGGCATCAGTGACGTCGGATCTCCAACTCGGACTTTTTAAACTTCAATAAGTTCAGGTGGGGTTATTACGCACGCGACAATTGGATGGATCTCGCGACAGTCATTCTGGGGAAGCTATGATCGGATTTTGAAAGAAGTCTAGGCCTCGGAATCCGGCCGCATCAATGTTCCGCGCCTGTCGAGTTCTACTAGGTCCATGGGTGTCGCGCCGCGGTCGGGTCGGGTGTGCTCCACCGAGATGAAGTCGCTGTTGGTAGTAAGCTCGGCGCAGATTCGCTCAAGGAACGGAAGTGGCTAGGTTTGGCCCAAGCGCGACAGGCTGAGTGGCTGCCGTCCAGGCTCAGTTGGAAGCCACTGTGAGATTATTCTCGCCTGTCGTCCCTTCCAAATCCTTTGCGACTTCGCCCTGGAAACATTGCTTCTCTTTCGGTTGCCGACAGCCCAGTGTTAGGTTTCTCTGGGTGGGTGATTTGTCGATTTTCAAAAATTTGCCATTGCCCAATCGCTGCCGGGTTTGCTGTCAATCCTCGTGCGACGACCAGCTTTTTGCGATGCGGGAAACCTTTGGCTCGGACTGCTAACCGCTCTCTCTCCTAACGCGCCGCCGCCGCCTCGCAAGTCGTCCCCCATCTCCTCTTCCCATACCTTTTCTATCCTCTCCTGCTCCACCCCAACAAAACTGCTGCAGCTCTCACAAGCGCACCGGCCTACCGATTCGCAAATTCTTTCGCCTGTCGCGTCCGCGTCCTTTGACCCTTTGTCCCAATTCATTCCTCAGGACGAGCCGATTCGCGACAATCTCCCGCCTCCCTCCTGTGCGCCCGCCCTGCCGAGGGCTTTCTCGATTGCTTGATGGAGGATGAAGCGCTGGCGACGATGAAGATGGAGGAAGTAAAAATCGAAGACGGCCTTGCGCCGAATGGGGTCAAGATGGAGCGAGAAACGAGCCGGGCATCATCGCACAACAAGAGCAACCACGGCTCCCGCGCCGTCAGTATGTCGCCTGGGGGCGAGAATACCAACGACGAGGGCGCCTCCACTCCTGGTACGAACAGCCGGCCGAAGCTTTCCCGCAAAGCCTCTCAGAAGCCCGTCAAGCGCGAGACCGTTCTGTTCAGCGATCTGCCCGATGTTCGAGAGGAAGCATGCAATACCTTTCAAGTCATTCCGGACTGTCTATATGGATCGAAGCACATGGGCTCAACCGATCACGATGCCTTGGACTGTGATTGCCGTTCCGAGTGGCGTAAGTTCCCCACGCCTCCCTTTCTGCCCGACGCGAGGCAATCGCGAGCGGCCCCTGACTAAAATTTGCGTTACAGAGGACGGAAAAAACTACTCATGTGGCGAGGACTCCGACTGCATCAACAGAGCGACGAGAATGGAGTGCGTTGTGGGCACTGGCAATTGCGGCGACGGGTGCCAAAATCAGAGATTTCAGCGGAAGCAGTACGCCAACGTTTCAGTCATCAAGACAGACAAGAAAGGATTCGGTCTCCGCGCCAATGTCGACATGCAAGCTAATGACTTCATTTTCGAATACATTGGCGAAGTCATCAACGAGCCAACCTTCAGGCGGCGCATGTCGCAGTACGACGACGAGGGCATCAAGCATTTTTACTTCATGTCGCTTACCAAGCACGAATTCGTCGACGCCACGAAGAAGGGAAATCTGGGCCGTTTCTGCAACCACTCCTGCAATCCAAACTGCTACGTCGACAAATGGGTTGTCGGAGAAAAGCTACGCATGGGTATTTTCACCTCGCGCAAAATCAAGGCTGGCGAGGAACTGGTATTCAACTACAACGTAGACCGCTACGGGGCCAACCCCCAACCCTGCTACTGTGGCGAGGTCAACTGCACTGGATTTATTGGTGGCAAGACTCAGACCGAGCGATCCACCAAGCTGCCCCTCGCAACTGTTGAAGCCCTCGGCATTGACGATGGAGACAGCTGGGATACTGCGGTCGCCAAGAAGCCCAGGAAGAAGAAGGTCGAAGAGGATGATGAGGAGTACGTTAACAGCGTACAGGCCAGAAGCCTCAACGAGGATGGCGCACGTAAGGTGATGGCGACCCTGATGCAGACGAAGGAGAAATGGATTGCAGTCAAACTGCTGGAGCGCATCCAGCAGTGCAGTGATGAGCGGGTCATCCACTGTGTCATGCGCATGCACGCCTACCAAATCCTCAAAACCACCCTCAACATGTTCATCGACGACCACAACGTCATTCTCCAGGTCTTGGACATTCTTGACAAATTTCCTCGGTTGACCAGGAACAAGATAGAGGGCTCAAAGATTGAAGACACAATCACCAAGCTGGCTCAATCGGAAAACGAAGAGGTCAGCGTCAGGTCAAAGAAGCTGTTGGAAGAGTGGGCAAAGTTGGAGTTGGGGTACCGCATTGGGAAGCGAAAGTTTGACCCCAACGCCCCGACCACCAACTCCTTTCAGGAGAGGCGCAACGCAGAACGCGAAGAAGATACTACCGCCAAATCGACTCCCGACCCGTTCCAAAATGTCGAGATTCCGAAGGGTCCAAGAAACAGTATGCCACAGCGGAATCCACACTTAGCGAACGGCCTCCCACGACCCAGAAGACAACACTTCCCCAACGGCCCTCTTCCGGCTGGATGGTTCACTGCAACCGACCCGGCAGGTAACACCTACTTCTATAGTAAGACCGGTGTAACAAGGTGGGAAAGGCCGACTAAGCCGGCTGATGCGCCAACCATAGCCAACAAGGCGCGAGAGGAGCAACAGAGGCTGAGGGACATCATCGACAAGGTGACGAAGGAACAAACTCCCAGGCCTTCGGCTTCTCAGACACCGCAGCGGGCAGAAACACCCGTGCAAGAGCCCAAGCCAGAGAAGTGGCGCTCTCTCAGTGTTGAGAAGCAGATGAAGATCTATGAGAATACGGTACGTCCATATTTACCACGCGGCATGAATGTCTACTAACGTCCTTTAGTTATTTCCTCACATCAAGTACGTGATTGATAAGTACAAACACAAGCTTCCCAAGGATGATCTTAAGCGGTTCGGCAAGGACATTAGCAAGAAGCTGGTCTCATCGGACTACAAAAGGAACCATGTCCGTGATCCAACCCAGCCTTTGGATCAGAAGCAAGCCAGGAAGGTTAAGACCTACGTCAAGGATTTCTTGGACAGGGCTGTAGTGAAAATGAAGAACTACGAGAAGGAGAAGGCTGTCCGTCATGGGCCAAAGGATGCAGGCGTCAATGGTCCAGCAACGGACGTTGATGCCATGGTGGACGTCGCCGGTGAAGTTATGCTTTCTGACGACGAGGAGACTGCGTCGACGGGTAGCCCAGAGAGAAAGCGGAAGCGCGAGGACGAGGCGGCTGCTTCACCGAACCTGACGCCTTCGGATGGACCCTCGACGAAGCGCTTGAGGGAGGAAGATGTGGAGGACAGTGCGCCGCCTCCTCCGCCGCCCCCGCCGCCCACAGAGCCGGCGCCGACCGATTCTCCAGAGTCTCTGACCGAAGAGCAACAAGCGCTTAGGGAGCAGGAGGAAGCTCTGATGAGGGAGAACGAGGAAGCTGAGCGAGAGGAAGCCACGAAAACTCAGGGGATATTTGATGGGCCCCGAATCAACGGTGGCGTAATCGTGGCTGGAGAAGGAGAGCCCGCTGCGGCGACCCGGCAAGAAGTTCTCGGCCACTAGAACTGGGACAAGGACAGGACGTAAGGGGGAAAAGTTGCCAATTTGGCACCTTCATTTGGAAGGAGGGCCAGCCGAGAACGAGCGAAGAATAAGCGAGACTCGGCGCTGTACGTACAAGCAAGCATATTGCATTTTTTTTTTCTTTTCGGAAAGGGATTCAGCAGACCCAGAGCACTTGGTTGCTGCCATTGTTATTTTCGATTTTTTATTTTGTTTTCGCCATGTGGATATTCAAAACGAGGAGCAGACGGCCACGCGGGCTTGCGGAAGCTATATCTGCGTATTCAGCATCCACACATCTTTTTACCCTTGATGATCAGGCATGTACAGGTGGGAACACAGGCGGCATTCTAGCATGGGGTTTCTCGGCAGGCAGGCAGGGGGGGCGGGTTTAAGGACGGCGGCGTTGCTTACTTCTCTCTCATGAGGGCCCTGAGGGGACCCTGAAAAGCATACCCACATTACCATACGTGGTCATGGCATAATGGCATATTGTTAGATCCTGAGAAATGATTTTTCTTGTCGTGCAAGCCCCATGACGGAGGCTAATTGCAAAAGTAACAACCATGGTATCTGGCTTTTGAAATGCTGTGAAGCTCCTCCAAACTTGTTTGACTTTTCCCTTTCCTGACAAACGCCGTGGTACCCATGCCTGATTAAAAACCGTTCGAGGCTGTCTAATGCCCATGCCGTCGTGCTGTATGCCTCACGCAAATGATGCTCCAACCCAAGAAAATGAGATCCCGTAGACACGCACGTGAAATGCTGACTCCCCTCACTCAAAGTCATCCTCGATATCCCCCACCTCGTCGTCGAAATCCGACTCCTCGTCACTGCTACTCTCCTCCCCGCCCTTCCTCTTCTTCTTCTTCTGCGCCGGCAGCGCCTCGGGCGCCTCGCCGGTCCTCATGAACACAAAACTCCGCGCGGGCCGGTCCTCGCCCCTCCACGCGTTCCCGCTTGCCTCGCCGGTGCCCTTCTTCTCCCGCACGACGCCGAGGGTGCGCGCGTGCCTGTAGCCCGGGTACGCGCGGGCGTGGAAGCGGAAGCTCTGCAGGGCCTGCAGGCCGGCGTGGCGGCCGAGGTCCTTGACGTTCCACAGGGTGTAGGGGTGGCCCTCGAAGAGGGTGACGACGACGGTGCCGCTGGGCGCGAGGGAGGGCAGGGCGGACTTGAAGAAGGCGACGAGGAGCTCCTGGTTGTAGCGGACCTGGCGATTGACGTCGGTGGACTTGCCGCCGACGTGGGGGAAGTTGAAGATAATGCGCTTGTAGAGGCCGTGTTTCGTGGTCGTGGCGGTGCCGTGGTGGTTCTGGGAGGTGGTGCGCCGGGTGAAGGGTTTCATTGTGCGCGCGTCGATGTTGTAGAGGATCTTGTTGTTGTTGGGGACGAGGGAGGGCTTGTTTTCCTCATCTTCATCGTCGTCGTTCTCTTCTGCCGCTGGGGAGTCTTCGTTCGCATCTTCGTCTTCGTGGTCGTTTTCGCCGTCGCCGTCCTCTGCCTTGGGTTTGGGCTTTCTCCCGGGGTTGATGATTTGGGCAATGTTCTCGTCGGCGTGGGGGTACTTCTCCAGAAGCTCCTTTTCGTTCTTCTCGAGGACGGTAGCCGTCACGTTGCGACAGCCGTGGTGTGTCGCAAGGCTTGCGGCGAAGCTGAGGTCGCCCTCGCCGATCAGGAGGATCGCGTCTTCGGGCGAGAAGGGGATGACGGGGTCCTGGTTCTGATGGTACTGCTGCTGCGCCTTCTTCTTTGCGGGATTGTCGTTGGCCGGCTGTTTGGACTTCTTGCTGCTCGACGGCGGGCCGTTTGGTTTCCTCTTCTTGGCGGAGTCGACGAAGTGGTTTTTGTGCGTGATCTGGCTGGCGGTGCGCTTCTTCCCCATGGCTGTGATTGTCAATTGGGTGTCGCGGGGGGTGGGCGAGTGTGTATGTGCGATTCGAGCCGGAAGGGGATCGTCAAGGCCGGTGGTCGTCGTTTGCGACGTGGTGTGGTGTAGCTACCCGTGAGGTGGTGTCGCGCCGACTGAAGTTACTTTACCCCACAGTCACCGACAACTTTTTTTGCCCGGGCGGTATGAGAGGTCGTTGACCGAAGGTGTAGCGCGCCCCGGCGGCTCGGGAATAGACGAGGTTCAGCCGGTCGCAAGTGGCCCCCGCCGCCGTCGTCCGTGGCTGGGCTCTTTGGCCTTTCCCAGCAGGCACCGCGCGACAAAGCTTCTGCCACCCTACCCCCTGGACGGGGCGACACCGGATTATGGAGAACCGCAGGGGGTGCTCCAGCGTCGATTGGGAACTGGAGACGCGCCGGGGCGGGAGCGTGTACACGGTACCTCACCACGTTAACAGAGTTGCAAGGTGCTGGTTAAGGGACTTTGCGGTGGGTAAATGGTGCTCCACCTTGGGGCGTGTGTGTTGTGCGGTGTGGACTTTTATTTTTTCTCTGGTACCATTGGGACTTCAAGTGGTTTTTTCTTGCAGGGAGAGGAGATTTTCGGTGTTGCATTTCTGTAAGGTGACGTTTTCTCGAGGGATTGGTTGATTTGATGCATCTCGTGAGCTTGATGAGCCATCGCTGAGCGAGCGTTTGGGAGGCCATCGTGTGCTCGTCTCTTCTTAGCCCCTTGGTGGACCATACTCTCAAATGAGGCTTACGGAACCTTGGGTGTTGAGCACCTTAGCAGACGCAAGGGATGATAATTCAGCAATCAGCATTCCAGGCCTGTGTTTGCTCTGTTGCCAGGTGCAGGTGGTTGCCTCGCACTCATTCAGACATGAATGTCAACAGATGTCCTTGGCTGCCAGAGCCAACGGGCGCCTAAACACACCTCGGAAACACACGTAATCTGATTGCCATTGCCTTCTGCATAATGGGATCTCATTAGCCACAACCAACACATCTTGCATCTGGTTGCTAGACTACTGGAGAGGCTGGAGACAAGAGAGAGACCCGGCTGGAGCTCGGGATCTGGGTGCAATAGGGCCCACTTCTCGGACGGGACAAGGTCCTGGAAAAGTGCCCCCCGTCCGACTCGTCCGAACTTGGGACTGGGGGTTGTGAAAATGTCTGTTTGGGAGCCGCCATCATGTTGAGATAAAAAAAAGAAAGCAGAGGAAAAAGTATCCGGCTTGACAGGATGCGCGATTACCAAAGGATTTCAACGGATCTCCCCGTCATCAACCGCAGGACCAGGCCGGATCGCCACTCGGCAGTCAACGGCGTGGCCCCGTTTCCAAAACCGTGACGGTAGCGGAAGTTCCTCTTGTGCGCAAAGCGTGGGTTTTTCTTGCTTTGGGTCTGTCTGGGGGTAGTAAAAAACGGGCACTGGCTGTTGGGTGTGGCTTTCGTCACGTCAGAGGGATGGGACGGGGGGGGACAGGCCACATCCTCGCCGGCCACGACTTGGGCTTCTGTCCATCTCTTTGACGGTTGATGCTAGACACGGGTTTTCAATGCTTGGTTGTCTGCTGCTGACTCTTGACTCTGGCGCGTGTGTGTGGTTCTGCATCCGGCGGTGGTTATTATGCGACGATGCAACACCTTGGCTTGCAATGCTCGTCGTCATACAATCAATTCCCATTAGACGCCAGTCAGCCCGCCTAAATACCGAATCGAGTCGATTCGTCTGCCGGAGCGGGCGGCAGTGTTGGTGACTGGGGAGCAGGATGGACGGAGGGACGGAGGGAGGGAGGGCGGATGGGCTGCTGCTGAATCAGAGGATGAGGAGAACTACGACGTACACCAGAGCAGAATACATGCCTCTGACTGAGTCTGTCTGTTACCAAAGTCCGCATCTCAGGCATTCTTGTCGGTTGGCCTGCCAAGTCGCAAATCCACCGTTTCGAGGACCTGAGCGGCCCATAGCCAACGAAGCAGGCCAGAGCAAGGCAAGGCACAGTCGCAGTACGCAGTACAGATACAGCGAAGCAAAGCAAATCGCGGGCAAAAGGCTTACACTGAGCTGAGCGGGCCCTGACTCTGCCCCAGAGCGAGTAACTGTGACCTGGACAGCCGGTGGGTGACCAGAGTACGCGGCCGTACACTGCCAGATGGCAGGCGGTGCATGTACCTAGTACCTTCCCCCTTCGACAGGGGTGAGAAACTATTTCCGGCTACCGGATTATCAGGCTCTCCGGGCGAATCAGCGACGGAGAAATCCTGCCGACTCCTACCAGATTGGTGTAAGTGTGCTGGGCTGGGCCTTGCCTTTCCGCCTCGCTGTAGCAGGGTGGTCACGTCTGGTCTGCTCCTGCCACTGCACCGCTCTGCTGCGCTCCGCCTGGCCTGGTACGCTCGGTATTATTCTTTGCAAAAGGCAAGAAGGGGAAAATCGCAGCACTCTTGGTCCACGACGCACTTCAACACCGCTTTCGCCGCCCCATTCTCACCTACAGCGGTCGCTGCGGAAGCTTCTCATCTTTATCGCGATCACATTTTTACCCTGCTCAGATTGGTTGCTCGTCGAGTAATTCTCGGTCGTTGCGAGAGACATCAGTGAGAAAGGCCAGGCGGCTGCTTTTTCTTAGCCCACACCCGTTCCCGCTGGCCCAATCCACACCCTCGTCTTTCTCCGAACAACTCTCAGCCAACAACGAACTTCTTCAACCAAAAGACTCTACGCACTCTTCACCGTCCTCCCTCCTTCCCCGAGAGAGAGATAGACAGTCGCGCTGGCTCACGCACCAGGGAAGCGACTCACTGACCGGCCGACAGAGAGTCTCTCGATTTTTCTGCCGGCCGCTTAACTGATCTCATCTCTCCTACCCTCACACGTCTCATTACACACTTACCCGCTCTCACTTTTGCCTCCACTTACCCCCATTTCCTTCCCCCCCAGCCTGTCACGTATCTTTCATGAACGGCCATCACCGCCATCATGTCAGACACAGAAACACCGGAGCAGTCTGCTTCGACGCCGACGCCTCAGCCGACGCCTAGAGCGACGAGAGGCAGAGGTAGAGGCAGGGGCAGAAGACCCGCCGTACCAAGAAAAGAGGCAGCACCCAAACCCGCGCCCACAGCCGGGACCGGTCGACGCGGCCGCTTCAAGCAGTTCAGCGACGACAAAGTCCAGGCTGCCTACGAGCGTCAACGCGAGCTCAAGGCTCAGTATGCGGCTTTGGCTAATGCCGTAAAGCCTGCGCTGCAAGACTTGGCGACGCGGACCGTCAGAAGACTGACCAAGGACGGCGATTACTACACGTCGGTGCCAGAGTTTGACGTGGTCACTGATCACCTCCAAGAGCGCTTCACCAAGAGACTCGCTGTCGCAAAGACCAAGCTCGGGATTGACCAGAAGATGGTCCTCCTCGCCAAGGAGATGCAGCGCGAGGCCGTGCAAGAGATTTTCGAGGTACGTGTGAACCCCGGACTGACATGTCATGTTTTTTTTTACCCTGGTCGTCGTCCGCTAACTGGCGGTGATCCGCGGCATTAGAACGGACTTGAGGATCTTGAAGACAGATTTTTGGATGCGCAGATTCATCGTCTCGATCTTTTGGAGTATCTCCATGACCATAGCCTGCCTATTGACGTAAGTATCTTACCATTTCTCACTCGGTCGTCGTGTGGCCTGCTTGCTCACGCGTGCCCCCTCAGCTCATCGACGGCGGCTGGAATTACAAACAAATTTCAGACAAGGAAGCCTCAGAGTTTGGCATCTATGAAGTCTACGTTGACGGCCATCTCGTGCCCTACCCTCAGCTCATTGAAGGCACTGAGGCTCACGCCCTCCGCCAGGCTGCCTGGGCGGAGCCTCAACACAAAGAAACCGCGGCAGCGCCCGCCGCCGCTGCACCACGGACCAAGCGCAAGGCCAGAGATCAGCCCGATGGCCAGCCCGCCTCCAAGCGGACCGCCGGTGATGTCGCGCCTGCTAATCACATTGCGGGCATCATGTCGGCGCAGCACGCTCCCGTCGAGGATGAGTCTAATGAGAGCACACCTGTCCCCGAGGGCCCGGTCTCCGCCGATCAGAGAGAACCTCCGCTGCCTGCGAAGGCTTCGGAGCCGGATGAGTATGGCTGCAGACAGGTCAACCGCCCACCGGCCAAGAACGGAGCCATGATTGCCAACCGCATTATTGTGCCGCCTACTTTCCAGTTTGACGATGACGAAATCGGATATCGTGATTCGACAAACTCTGCAAAGCACGGCGCCACGGTCGCCAAGCGAGGCAAGTACTTTGGCAAGCCCAACTCCAACACCTGGCACTACGACCCTCTGCTCGCTCGCTGGGATGCACGTCTTGTTGAGGACGACGACATGGATAAGGATCTTGTCGAGAAGCACGGCGTCCATCCTCGCTATGGCTACTTCCTTCCTACCAGCAAGAACGACGCCGAGCCTCCCAAGCCGGAGGCCGACCCTATGCATCCGACTGTCTATCTCACCACATCTGGCCGGGCCATCCACGCCTCGCGTTATGCGCCCGTGGCGAAGGTTGATACCTCACTTGAGGAAAAGCCAGTTCGAGACTCGATGGCCGAAGTCCTGTCTGCTGTCTGCGATCAGTACGAAATTGCCGAGGAAGACATCGAGGGAGAGGAACTCAAGCAGCTCAAGGGCATTGCCGCTGATTATGCAGAGCAAAGAGCCCTTGCCGAGTCCATCAAGGAATCCCAGAGCGTCGAGGAGACTCCCGCTGGTTCTCCCCTCCCTTGCAATGATTCCGCTCTCAACATTGCTGGTCTTGATGACCTCGTCAGCGCCGCCGAGGCGGTTGAGGGAGAGGAGAAGAAGGAAGTCAACCCTGTCGAGGAAAAGCCAGTTGTCGTCCAGCCTCCTACACCGGCCAGAACCACGACCCGTGCGTACGACGCAATTCGGGATATCTTTGGCGATTCTGAGCCGGCGACTGAAGCCCCGCCTACGCCCGTTATCGCC